GTCAGAGTTAACTCTGTGACATGTCCTCTAGCCAAGCCCATTCACAATTTTTTCCTTAGGTGATTTTTGTTTGTTTATATCTCTGTGCATTTGCACCTGCTGGTCCCTGCTTGGAATGCTGTCTCAAAGTTTTATGCACCTGGAAAACATTCTTACTCATCCTTTAAGAATCAGGTTAAACAATACCTTCTTTGGGAAGCCTTCATATCTTCCCATCCTTTCAGAAAGAGTTAGGAATTTCTCAAGTCAGACATTTATGCAAATTACTACATAAGCACATAGGACAGAAAGATGAAGATGTGGAGGGGCACCTAGGTGCCTCAGTCAGCTAAGCGTCCAACTCTTGATTTCAGCTCATAATCTCAGGGTTCTGGGATCGAGCCCCATGTTGAGCTCTGCCCTCAGCATGGAGTCTGCTTATCCCTCTCCCTCTGCTCCTCTCCTTGTTTGTGCCCTTGCTCTCTCTCTTTCTCAAATAAACAAATAAATAGAATCTTAAAAAAAAAAAAAGAAAGAAAAATGAAGATGTGGACCCCACATTCATGAGCTCACAGTCTAGTAAGGAAGACAGCCATATAAATAAATAACCACATATGATAATATTTTTTTTAAAGATTTTATTTATTTATTTGACAGAGAGAGACACAGTGAGAGAGGGAACACAAGCAGGGGGAGTGGGGGAGGGAGAAACAGGCTTTCCCGCAGAGTAGAGAGCCTGATGTGGGGCTCGATCCCAGGACCCTGGGATCATGACCTGAGCCGAAGGCAGACGCTTAACGACTGAGCCACCCAGGCGCCCTTATAATAATATTAAATGTAATACCAAAAGGAAGACTTATGGAATATTTGACATATGTTTACTTTGTTACACTCTTTATTAGACACTAAAGCTCTACCCTCAATTGTCTTCTGAAGAAACTGTCTCCAAGTGGTTCTTTTATTTTATGCTAAGATCTGTACAACAGATAATGCATGAAACCAACCCCACTTCTTGGGACACAAGCAACTGGACTAGCACTCAGAGCCCTAAGTAAAGACAATCTACAAGCTGAACTTGAGAGTGATCACCTAGGACATATCTTGGCTCAAAATTCTGCCCAATAGGGGTCCTCTATTTTAGGTGACAAACCAATCCAATCAGGTTCTCTCTTGGGAAATACAAATGTTGAGTGAGCAAAGTAAAAGAAGGCAGGTTTCCAGAGCCCAAATCCTATTCTAAATACTGCTCAGTTATTGTTTTTTTAAGGTTTTGAAAGCAGTAGAGCCAAGGGACAATATGGCTGCTGAGATGATTTCCTATTTAAATTTACATTAAACCCTCATCAGCAAAGATAATGTGTGTGCCTCTTCCTTTCAATTGACAAGGGCCTAACACATCATATCACCACTTTTGAAATTAGAGAACAGGCTTAAGAGTTCTACAACTTGACCAAAATCCCTCAGTTGGTAAGTGGTAAAGCCAGAAACCAAAGAACAAATCAGCCTGATTCTTCTAGAAAATCCTGCTAGGTAAATGGCCTCAAAATCAATTGATGACACAAGTTTACACAGGTTAATGGAGAGAGGCTTAGAAGTAAGAGTTTATGCACAGAATAAAATAGAAATGTTCTGGAAGTCAATATGCTAGGAGATGTGAAGTGGGAGGGGCCATACCAGGTGTTACTTTGGTCAAGTTAATTTCTTTCCAACCTGGACCTCTCCCCTGAGCTGTTAGCTGCCTGTTTCTCCTACTCAAATATAGTATCAGTAAGGGCAAGATCTTAATCTGTTTGTTCACCAGAGTCTAAAACAAAGCCTAGCTTACAGTAAGTGCTTAATAAGTATTTGTTGAATAAGTGAACAAATTCTCAAAGAAGCTAAAGGAACATTCTACAGTGGACTCCAAGAAGGGTCATCACAAAATAGACTCCAGAGGTCACTTACATTTTCATGGATCCTGTATTTGTGAGTTCTCCTACTTGCTAAAATGTCTTTGTAACCACAAAACCAACACTCACCGTGCTTTTTCAGCCATCCACAGACATGCACAAAGTGCGAAAACTGAGTCACCCCTCCAAAACATTCCCAGCTAAGGTAGAATAAGGCAGTGCTCTGCATTTGTGTTTCCAGTCTCACACAGGGATGACTAGGGGACACAGATTGTAGGGGGCAGTGCAATGTAGAGCAAGAAGCTCCGGCTCAGAGGCCAATCAGACAGGGTTTGAAGCCTAACTCTGGCACTTGTTGGAGGGTGGCCTCAGGGAAGTCACTTAACACTTCTGAACCTCATTTTCTCTTTTGTAAAATAAAGAAAATAGAATTTACCAGGATAAACTGTATTTACATAAGATTATAATCTATATAAGATGTTTATATGGACGTATTTTCCCTAGGAGCAGTGATTCAGTATTTGCTAATTTAGTGCCCTAGGTGACTTTATCGACCAAAATTACTGTAAATAATGAGAATCAAAGATAATTATTTATAATGAAATAACAGAAAGATATAGAAAACAATTATTTGGATGGAGTGCAGGCCAGTGTCAGGCTTCAAGAGATTTTGAAATAGAACCTCACTAGGCATATAAGGTGTGGAAAAGGCTTTCAAGGAGAGAGAACAGCACCTACAGAGAGAGACCCAAGTGTGTAAATGAACAGGTAGGTTTAGGAAATGGCACTTCAGAAAGTCTAGAGCAGGAGATGAGGCCAGAACATGGAGTCACAGTGCTTCTCTGTGCCCTGCATACTATCCTGTACTGCAGAACCTCTCCCTCTGCATTTAATTCTTGGTTTACAGGTTTTTCTCCCATTAAACTGTGGACTCCTTAAAGACAAGATCTCTAGGAAGAAATCATAGTTATAATCTTTTAAATCTGCAAATGAGTAATTACTAAGCACAAATACACCTGAAAAGACTGTTAAAAAAAAAAACAACTCTGGTTTTCAACCACAGCCTATACCAACTCATAGATTTGTAGTTTTTCCAGGACTTTTCTTTGATGACTGTTAATAATTCTGTAATTAATATTTTATTGTTCTCAATACCTGGGCATTTGTTAGAATAGCTTTAAGATCTTCCTCTTTTTCGGGCGCCTGGGTGGCTCAGTTGGTTAAGCAACTGCCTTCGGCTCAGGTCATGATCCTGGAGTCCCGCATCAGGCTCCCTGCTCAGCAGGGAGTCTGCTTCTCCCTCTGACCCTCCACCCTCTCATGCTCTCTCTCTCTATCATTCTCTCTCTCTCAGTAAATAAATAAAAATCTTAAAAAAAAAAGATCTTCCTCTTTTTCGTGTGATTTATTAACAGGGTTCAAACATATGGTCTACTAGACAATGCAATGCTGCCTCTTCAGAGTAAAGATTCCTCTTAATTCACTCTACTAGATTTATTTCTCTATATACAAGGTACAGTCTTAAAGGTACAGTCTTACCATAGTAAAATACAAGGAAATATATATGTATATATATATTACAAATAAAATAAAACAATGAACATTTTTCACAAAAACTTGCAAAATTCTGGCCAAAATAAAGTGTACATATTAAACTCACCGCTTACATTTCAACTCTGCGAACTAAGAAAAACAATTCCAATTTATATGAAGTCACAAAACTAAATACTTTTAGAACCTACAAGGTTTTGTACACGTGTATTTTCTCTTGCACACTCTTTCTCATACACACATAGCCTAAGGGGCCCATCACACTTAATCCAATACTTCTATTTCCTCAAAACAAAACTCTTACAGTCCAATATCTAAATTAATATTTTCAAAACCCCAAAGTGACTTTTCCCCATAAACTTCTTGGCATAATTTTATTTAGGCACAACATAGTTTGCACTATTATCTAGAACCAACATCATTAAAACACAAACTGACATACTATAAATGTGAGTACAAATCCTCTGTGAATGGGGAAAAGAGAATATTGTTTTTAAACAGATTCAATGCCATGTTATCCATAGTCCTGGTATGATCAAATCACACTGTGCTACACAGCTAAAGTATGTCGTATATTTTATGATAAACTAGGGTGGACAGGCCCTTACACTACAAACTCTGTGCCACTCCAGTTAAGCTACTTAAAGTATAATGAAGAAAAAAAGAAAAAAAAAGTATAATGAAAACTGCCTACTTAAAATAATAATACATTTTAAATTTCTTGTGGCCAGTAAAGTCTTCTCACCTGCATTTTCAGAAACTATCACCAAAACAACTGTACTGGGAAAAAGATTTCAGAGAGGATATTATGATCAAATGCCATTTTAAGGAAGGCAAGAATAGTTTACCATTAACAAAACCGATTAAAGTTCCCAATCTTGCAAAGCTCCCTGTACTGTGTATTCTGCGTCTCTTGCATTCACCTTCCAGCTGCTTGGAAGGAGCAAGTGGAAAATGTTAGTTTCCATGAGAGATGTGGATGAAATTTAGGGGGTGGGAAGGCTAAGGGACTCACGAGCAGAACGGAAGGCAGCAGAGAAGTGGCCGGGGCTCCTAACTCAAATTAGGTATCAAGAACGAAAGCTGGAGCAAAGTGGGAGGTGGAGGGAGTAGAAGAAACGCAGATAACGCACCCGGGCCCGCGAATGGGGGAGGGGTGAAAACGCGCAACTCCTCCGCCTACCCGCCTGGGGAGGAGACCGGGGGATGCAACACCCGTCAATTTCCCTCGCGGGGTTGCGCCCGGGTAGTATCAAGCCAAGGTTTCAGTCCGAAGGAGCCTGAGGGGGCTCAGGGAAGTTGAGGGGCGGGGGAGGAATAGCGCGCCTGTGCCGGGAGAAAAGGACTAAGACCCCCTAAAGCCCGCGAGAGGCAGAGGGTAACCCCAGCGGATGCCCCTGCTCGCCGATGGCCACGACGTGGGACCCGCCGGCTTACCCTCACCACAGGAGCTCGGACAGGCGCGCGTCGCCCCTCACAGCCCCGACGGCTGCGGAAAGGGAGGCGCAGGGCGCCCCCAGAGCCAGGAGAGCGGCGCTTCCCGTGGGTCCCCTCCCCGGCAGCCCGGGTTCCCGAGCCCACCTGGGCTGACCAGAAGCCCTTCCTCCAGCTCGTACTCCGCCACTTCTCCGAGAGCCTCAGCCGTCGCCGCAGAGGTCGCCGTCGCCAGAATAGTCTCGGCCTCCAGTTCCAAAGCGTGAGCCACAGCAAGGGAGAAGCGTCGGGGCCACTCGCCAGGTTACCTCTTACAGCACACTGGCTCCTTACTCCGCCCCCGAACCCAAGCCATTGGTTGCTGGGCACCGCCCCATTCGCCTATTGGACCGAAGATGATGCCTCTCAGTCACCTAGAAGGGCATGTGTGTTGCTTATTGGTCTAAATGTGAAGCAGTTCCCACCCACTCCCTCAGAAGTTCCAGCTTCCGATTGGCATTAACATCTGTCTTTTCGCTCCCTTCGTTCTTTCTCTCAGGGTGGAGCGCCTCCTTTCGGGAGACACCGGCTCTGATTGGCTGAAAGGATATTACGCTAGTCCTGGATAGGCGTTGATCCAAGGATGCGTCCAGCCCCTACGTGGGGGAGGAGCCCAAGGCGCCGCATCTCTGGGTTTGTTTACACAGGCTCTTGCTAGCGCTTCCTTCTATTGGCTGAGCCAGCGGCCCCTCCCACCGGATTGCGCCATTCAATCTAGCAAGGAGGGGCATGGGGGCGGGCCTCAGTGGGATTTCCCTAACTGTCCATTACCAAGGGAGGAGCTTTGAGCTAGGCTGGATAGGAGCTGGCGCTGTGCTTCACAATCGGGAAGTTGGGGAGTTGGGCTCCTGCAAGGGGCTGGAAAGAAGCAGAGGGACTCTCTCACACTTCTCGAAACAAACCTAACTTCTCGAGGGTTTTTAAATTTCCCCCTTAAATTTAGGGTGTCCCATTTTTGTGTGCTAAGGACTTTGAATTGTATCCCTCAGGAAGTGGGGATTTCCTTTTGGAAGTCTTTATACATCTTTGTCTCTCCCCACCTCTCATGCTAACTGTACATGTAACACAAAGTAGAGGCTTAGTACGTGATTACACAATGAGTGGATAAATGATAAAAATGAAAAGGACAGTGAAATAAAGTCAGATTAAATAACAATAAATGTTAAATATATATTTAATATAAATAATATAATAAAGTTAATACATAAAGTCATTCATTCAACAAATTTTATTGAGCATATGATATGACATTCCAAGCTCTCATCTAGGCTGTGGGTATATGATAGGAATAAGACAATGAAAATGCATCCATGGTGTTTTTTCTCTAGTGGAGGAGAGTGACAATAAACAAGTAACCAATAAATAATGTCATGTTGTGATTGAGTACTACAAAGAAAAATAAAGCAAGGGTTAAAGAATGGTTGAAGGAATGGCTATTTTAGGTAGAATGTCAGTTTAAGATCTGTTTGAGGGAACAGCATTGCAAAGAGATATGAATAATGTGAAGAGCAGGAAGGAGGCTGGTAAGCAGGGCCACTACATTCCACAGCACCAGGATCACTAGTCACACTGCTTCATGTACTTCCCATTTGTATTATTAGGTTATAATTTTAGGATCACCTGCTCTGGTTTTAATTTGATCTGGTTAAATAATGTAAGTGGATCCTACAAGAAATACCTTCTTTAGGGAAAAAATCTGACTACAAAATAACTTCCCCACCCTCCATTGCTTCTTTTCCTAAGGTGACCTTCAGCTATTTGGTGAGAGAGGTGCTTATATAATCTCAAAGCTTTGAAAAACAGGGTCCTCAGGTCCATATCGTGCTCTTGCCCAATCAGAAATACTCTTCAAGGATGAAGATATACTACAGGATAGCAATGGGATGTGGGGAGGTGTTGGGGGGCTCCAGCTGTTTCTCTCCCTACCATGGACACTGTCTCACAACTTCATGACTGGGTATCACCAATAACAAAGAGAAAACCTTAAAAGTAGAGAAAAAACGTACATTACATTCAGAGGTGGGAGGTAGGAAGATAAGAATTACAGCAGACTTCCTATCGGAAACTATGGAAGCCAAAAGACAATGAAGGAGGGAGGTAGCCAGGTGGATATCTGATAATGGTATGCAGAATAAATAGGCGTCCAAAATGGGAGACAGTAGACAATAACCAGTCACAAAGTTATAGGGGATGATGGTGTCAGTTGGAGAGAGGAAAACAAGAGGAGTCCACCAATCCTTCCCGCACATCCCATTTCTGTCATGGTGATAAATCTTCATCCTCAAAGAATATCTCTTTTACTTTTATTGTGGTAAAATACACATAACATAAATTTTATTATTTTTACCCTTTTTAAGTATACAGTTAATTACAGTTCAGAAGTACATTCGTTGTTGTGCAACTATCACCACTATCCATCTCCAGAATGTTTTCATCATCCCAAACTGAAATTCTATACCCAGTAAACGATAACTTCCTATCCTCCCTTCCCCTATCCTCTGGAAATCACCATTCTACTTTGTGTCTCTATGAATTTCATGATTATAAGTACCTCATATAAGCAGAATCATATAATATTTGTGCTTTTGTGTCTGGCTTATTTCATTAGGCATAATGTCTTTAGGGTTCATCCATGTTGTAGCATATAACAGAATTTCATTCTCTTTTAAAGCTGAATAGTATTCCACTGTATATACATAACATCTTTTGTTTGTCCATTCATCCATCAATGAAATTTGACTTTTGTGACTAATGCTGCTATGAACATTGGTGTACAAGTATCTATTCAAGTCCCTGCTTTTAATTCTTTGGGGTATATACTCAGAAGCAGAATTGCTGGATCATATGGTAATTCTAGGTTTAATTTTTTGAGGAACTTCCATACTATTTTCCACAACAGCTGTATTATTTTATATTCCCATCAACAGTACAAAAAGGTTCCAATTTCTCCACATCCAACACTTGTTATTTTCTGCTTTTTTTTTTTTTTTTTTTGGTAAGACCTATTCTAATGAGTGTGAAGTGGTATTTTGTATTTTTGGTTTGCACTGTCCCAATTATTGGTGATGTTGAACATATTTTCATATGCTTTTCAGACTCGTTGGAGAAATGTCTATACAAGTCCTTTGCACATTTTTTAATGGAGTTGTTTTTTTGTTTTTGAGTTTTAGAAGTTCTGTACCTATTCTGGATATTAATCCCTTATTAGATATACGGTTTGTAAACATTTTCTTCCATCCTGCAGGTTACATTTTTTTCTCTGTTGATAGTGTCATTTGATGCTCAGAAAGTATTTCTCATTGTGCCAGGTCTGGATGACCAAGTGGCTAGTTAAAAACCAGGGATCTACTATTAATTAAAAAGAGTAGAACGGAGGGGCATCTGGCTGGCTCAGTCAGTAGAGCATGCGACCCTTGATCTTGGGGTTGTAAGTTTGAGCCCCATGTTGGGTGTAGAGATGACTTAAACATAAAATCTTTTTTTTAGGGGCTCCTGGGTGGCTCAGTCATTAAGCATCTGCCTTCAGCTCAGGTCATGATCTCAGGGTCCTGGGATCGAGCCCCACATTGGGCTCCCTGCTCTGCGGGAAGCCTGCTTCTCCCTCTCCCACTCTCCCTGCTTGTGTTCCCTCTCTCGCTGTATCTCTCTCTGTCAAATAAATAAATAAAATCTTAAAAAAAAAACGCAAATCTTTTTTTTTAAAAGGGAGAATGGATATAAAGGCCACAGAAAATAAAGCTGTATGATAAAGTTGAGGAAATGTCCCATAAAGCAAAACAAAAAGCAAATTTGATAGAAAATAGGAGACAAAGTGTGAGAAAGTTTCCAGAAGTAGAGAATAGAGGCAAGGATATGAATTAAATGATGCCAAAAATATCTGTCATAACTGAATTAACCTGAGTCCTTTAATTGAAAGAACTCAACAAGTGCCCCAAACTTTAAATTAAAAACATTCACATCAGTAGGAACACTTGTTAAATTTTTACTATGTGCCGGGAACTGCTTTAAGTTCTCAACATGGATTAAGCCATTTAATCTTCAAAACATGAGTACTGTTATTATCCCCATTTTACAAACAGATAAACTGAAGTAAAAAAGATTATGTAATTTATCCAAATCATTCAGCTAGTTAGTGGTGGAGCTCAACTGTGGTCCCTCTGCAGATGAGGAACCGATTTGGATGTCAATACTGATGATACCACACACGTACCAAGAGGGCATTAAGAGATTTATTATGCATAGGGGTGCCTGGGTGGCTCAG